TTGTGGCCCGCTCATTCAGCCGAGTCATTTTATCCAAAGCGACTTGACCAGCTGCAGTTTCCGCGGTACGTTTTGGATGAGCAGCCGCTGTGTTTAGCATGGAGTGCTTAGTCATCGCATCACTTTATTGAGAGTGTTACTATGATATACTCGTAGTACCACTCTTAATAAGAGTCATCAGGAGCAAAAGAAAGGGATTCTCCACTAACCGAAAGCCTCTTTGAAAGAGCTGAGGTGGACTGAGGAAAAAAAAAAAAAAAAGCAGTTTATTCTTAGATTTTTCTTTGCTGCCATTTGAAGGTTTGATTCTGTTACAAATGATTAGAGTTGTAATAGGAACTGAAATGAGCTGGAGTGGAGGAGCAGGCTGCACAAGGCTGCCACTCTGCTGATTAGTGCTTTAGGAGCACTAATCAGTTCTTTAGGAGCTCAAGGGAAATCTTGTCACGTATTAAAAGCACTACTGGGAGCTTTATTCATTAGGAGATGGTATCTGGTGCTGCATGTTCCCCCTAAAAATGCACACAGCATGGCCTAACCGCCAGAATGCCCACTACGGTGACGCTACACTGAATCTACAGTTTTACCACTCCAGGTGGCAGCATGTCGGCGTACCTCGAAAATTCTTATTTATTTTAAATCCTACATATAAAATATTACATTATGCTCTCCATTTTTGGATGCTGTAAGAATTTTTTTTTTTTTTTTTTGCTGATACTTAATTTAACTTTTGGTCATGTGTGATTACACGTAGCCACAAGCAACAAGTTAACATTGAAAAAGCTGAAACGAAGCTTTAAATCGTGCCTCACTCTCCCGTTACACTCCCAAGGTTTCAAAAGTCTCTCAGCTGCTCCACCAGAGAGAAAACAAGATGGATTTGTTTTACGCAAACGTCAAGGATTCAAACATTCCCGGTGCAACACCTTCTCTGAGAAAATCAGATCACAGTCTCGTATTTCTTGTCCGTCACGGGAAGTTAAAGGAGCCTTACAGGGATGTTTTGAGGCGACGGACTGGATTGCTCTTTCCAGCAACATGGGGGAAATCGATGGCATGGCTGAGTTTGTGACCAACTACATAAATTTGTTTGGACAACATGAAATGCTTCCCTAACAAAAAACCCCTGGACCACCAGTGACCTGACGGTAGTGTTAAATGATAGCAGGGAATTCATTGAGATGTATGCAGAAGGCGGGATGCAGTCATAACCCATTTCCATAAATATTTACTACTCTAGTCAAAAATCTCAACATGTTTGAGTTTTGCAGGCGAACCCCCGTAAAGAAACACATCAGACTTTGTTGCTTCCTCTAAAAAAACCCAGAGCACCATAGATGCTTTCTCTCCCCGCCAGCTTTTCCTTTTTATATTTTTATTTCTCCTCACAAGAAGTTGTCTTTAAAGAAGCTGGATGTCGGAGGCGCCGTGGCAACGTCAGTGAAAACAAAACTGTTCTGTGATTTCAACTTTTCTTGCTCGAGGCATCTCTCACAGCACAGAGAAAACTGCAGCAGCACAACAAATTGTTCCAGTGTGTTTCGTACAAGGCTGGCTTTACAGAGAGGAGAAAAACAGGATACAAGAAATCCCAATCTCTTTACAAAACATCACCATTTCATTTCTCCCCTTCTGGTCACTCAATATTGATCAAAATACCGATTGATATTTTAAGTCTGTGATTGGTTTCAGTAGCTGTAACAATGAAGTGACATAGTCCCTGTGTATGATTGTACTGTCAATGCACAAAACCCTTACAAGATTTTAAAAAAATTAGAAATAATGGGGGGGAACACATAACATCCAGGCTCCTCACCTCTTATGTTTCTTAGTAATAATTTAAGTCTAACCGGATGGGGTTGTTTTTGATGTGACAACACTGCCCTCTGGCGAAATTTTAGAGTACATCCACGGAGAGAAAACGGTTCAATTCAGTTCAATTACTTAGAGGATTTTATACTGTCATGTAATCTGCACGCTTTTATCTTTATGTTAAAAAATAAAAACTGTAGCACATAAAAAACATGTTCACCAGAGTTTAAAAAAATAAAAAAGCAAAGACTGTACAAATTTAGACACTGGACACTACTGAGAGATAAAAGCCATACAACAGAAATAAAGCATCATAATAATAAAAACGAGTTCAGTAGAGGTATAGTCTAAGTACAATACCTTACGTCATCTGTGAAGCGTGGAGATGGAAGTCTTTGGGCGTAGCAGGACCTGACCAGCTCACCATCACAGAGTTCTACAGAGAGGGTGCTTGAGGAAAACGTGAAACCCATCTTTGGGAAAACGGAAAGCAGAGCCGGACTCTACAACAGGACAATGAGCCCAAAACAAACCTGGAGATCCATCAAGGTCTGGATGGCAGTTGAGGAACAGGAAGTCCTGTCTGAGGAGACTTGAAACCAGGCAATGGAGAAAGAAACACCGTAAAACACCACACAGCTGAAAATCAGGGGTAGAGGTCATTTTCAAGCTGTTGTGTTTTACATTTTTTTTCTCCCTCAGCTGGAAAAGCATCTTTGTTTTAATCAGCAAAACAATGATCAAGGATTTTGGTGGTTACAGCCAATTCAAAGAATCAGGTTTACCATCAGTATGTGGACATAGTTCCTTTATAAAGAATTTTATATGTGATAGGTTGTCCTAATTTTTCCACACGACTGAAGGTTTAAGTCTGGAAGTAAATTCAGCTAGTTTTGAGTTTGATCTGAATACATCTCCCTCATTTTCCTGGCTGTTTTTTGCACCAGCACCTCAGCAGACAGCTTCCTTTCCAATGTGTGTTATTCTCTAGTTAGCAACTACATGAAGTTGTATACGCTGTATTTTCAGCCAGCGATTTCAACCGCTAACTGCTAACCAGTCTATCACTTTCCCATTGATTAGCTCAGAAGCCATAGATCAGAGTCGTTTAGTCGTAATGTGTTGCATCAAAGGCTCCTATAGATCAAAAACTCTCTTTCTTAGCTCTGAGTGTCAACATTAAATAAGCCCTGAGTACTTATCCAGACCTACATTGAGGACATGCACTTTCAAAAAGTGAGAGTTAAAAAGAAGCTAGAAGTTAATGTATGTACAACACTTTATGTAATGAACCTCTGGATGTTATTTCTAAAGATAAAAACTATGAAATGTGTTTATTTTATTTTCTCAAACAGCCATCAGATTATGTTTTTTTTTCCATCATTTTATTACAAACAAAAACAGTAAGTAGCAAAAGCTCCCCACAGTTCACAGCAACATTTAGCCGTGTTAGCTTCGTGCCGTAATGTGCAGAGAGCGACAGCGGCCCTGTTAGGAGTGTTGGACAGGCAGCAGGCTAGCCGTCTCTTCGGGTCAGGTCTCTGCTCCCACAGAAAGTGTGAATATCTCAATGTGCGCTCGGTCTATAGTCCGTGAAGCGTGGAGCTGATGATGTCCATGAAGGTGGCTTCGACGCAGTAGCAGAGCTGCACGTCGGGGTCGGCCCCGCCCAGCTCCTCGGCCGTCTTCTGGGGCAGAGTCAGCTTGGAGGAGCCTCCGCCTGGAGCTGCGGCTTCCTGGGGTTTCTCTCTCAGACTCTGGAGGCCTGGGAGGAGGAGGAGGCTTTTATTTCTACTTCAGCAACAATAAAATATTTTAAATGTAACAGGTATCCACTTTAACACATGTGATCTGAACATTTGTTGTCTTTTGGAGGTCTTCTGGTAAAGTGTGCTTTAATACCGAGATGGAAGACCATCAGTGCCATATCTTCGCCATAATCAAACTTGACAACATCTCAGGGAACTTCTTGCTTCTAAATAAAATCTCACTGGGCAGGCGAGCGCCTCTTATGTCGCTATACTAGTGCGCCGACAAACACGATGCATTAGTACGTCTTATAGGTCTGAACCAAATAATCGGATTAATTGTGATTAATCGATTATTAAAATACTCGTCAATCAATTTAGCAATCCATTAATCATTAACTGGAGCATGTAGACACACAAAAACAACAATTTTGCTGAAACACATGCAGAGCAGCAATTAAGCCATTGATTATATCATATCAATAATATCGATACCTAGTCTGTATCAGTATCGGATGGATACTGGTGTGGTAAAATCGACACTTTGGTTTCAGGTTCCCTCTTGAATTTTTATTTTATTTTTGGTGATGTACCTCAAAAAAAGATTCTGCTTTTATTTATTCTCGAATTATAATTTTTTTGCACTCTGTTTATGCATGAAACAATGCACACCAATATGTTTTGTTTTTCTATTGTTGCATTTCATCATGTAAATGTTAAAGTATTTTGTAGACACAAATACAGCACTTCGTCCCAATTCGGCCCTGGTTTTAACAAAAAGAAATAAAAGGAAAAACCACAAAAACACCTACAGGTCAGGAGTTTGATTAATGTCTAAAACGTAAATAAAAAGTATCTGGGATATTTACTTGTATTTATTTTGCAGTATTTACTTGGTTTCGGATCGATCGATCGCACACCTCTAATATTTAACACCCGAGCAACATTCATTTCTCTTAGAAAGTAACTGTTATACTTACGGGCGATGAAAGGGTCGATGTCTCTGACTTTGGTGGCCACATCAGAAGCACAGACCTGGCCCACTTGTACCAACAAAGCTGCCACGTCGTCATAAAGAGGCGGGAAGGCCTGACAGAAAGCCACCAGGCACGGCAGCGTGGGCATGAAGAAGGAGAACCGCTTGGCGCGATTCAGCACTACAAAGCACAACACACACTCATGAGTCCAAGCAGCAGCTGGGCAAACACACAGCACACTCTTAAGCAGGCTGCTAGATGCGCCGTAATTAAGAGAGACGGCTGCAGTGGCAGCTAGTAGCCAGACGGTGGCAGCATTCCACAGGAATAGCGACGCTAAAACATGGTGTTTGCTGAATACTAACAGGAGTAGAATAAAAACATCCCATAAAGCAGGGGTGCTGGAACTCATTTTCATTTTGGGCCAAACCAGGATCATAAATGTCCTCAGATGGCCGGTTTTGGCAGGACGGAGTAATAAAACCACCCCGTTAACAAACTGCTAAAATATTAAATAAAAGTTGCCTCTGCATTCAATGAGAACTTTTTGGGGTGAGAAATATGGATTTAAAAGTTTTAGGATGACATTAAGAGCTGCTGTTGTGGTAATAATAAATGGGACAATAAAAACTATTTATTACCTATTTTTTAGGTAACTGTACCTAAAAAAAAAAATCACAGCCCCACAAACACAAATACTACTCAATAAAAAAAAATAAATAAAACAAACATACACATTTTTAATGCACATCCTTATCCCACCAGTCATAAAGAAGGATGATTTGTATCACTAAACTGCATTTAATCAATATTTTCAAACTGACTGATGTATACTGATGCTCTTGTTGAACAAACTGTTTAACAAAAAACAGAAAAAGTAATAATCCCCAAATTATGGACAGTTTTTTTGGGATTAAACATTGTTGATTGAAATTAATTGTGATGATAAATCAAATTCATCACGATAAAAGATAAACGATACGATACGGACCCATTGCTGATACAGTTGGTTTGACTGATAAAATAATATTTAAGCACACAACTGAAGGTTCTAAAAAGTTCCGGTGGGCTGGATTTGGGCCTCGAACAAGACGCTGCTGACCTGTTAACAGCGTGCCCATCACACTGATGGCCAGTCTGGCCACACTCAGGGACTTGGGTAAGGCGTACTGCGTGCACAGGTACGACAGCAGCTGAATTGCAAAGATCTGCGGGCAAACAAAGCACAAGAGATGTCACTCATGGATGTGACACAATAAATACAGTAGATTTCAACCTGGAGGAGCTGCTGGTGAAGAGTGCAGGTCTATCAGGGAGGCTCTGGCACAAAACCAAGAAAAGTTCAGGATTTTAAAGCCTGGAAGCAGCAGGGAGGACTCACCTGCTTCTCCAGCTGGGGCTGGGCCAGCAGCTCTGGGATGAAGTCCAAACAGATATGGATGGAGGGGATGCCTGCCACAGTCAGAGGCAGGAGAGCCTGAGGGTAACCCTGACACAATGGGGGGAGGGAGGGAAGAATATTCATCCTATAATTAAACAATAAAGACAAGGGAGGACGCAGTGGACTCATCCAAGCAGTCTTTGTGTGTGTGTGTGTGTGTGTGTGTGTGGATTAGTAGTTTCTGTTCAACAGCGTGTGGACAGAGGTGGATTTACTTTAGAAGAAGCCCAACATATGGCTGTCAGACAGTAGTGGGAGAGCTGCAGTTTATTACTGAAGTGCAACGTGGCGACTGGTGCGGTCGACGTGATCCGATCCTTCGTTAAAGGGGCGGTGGGTGTCATGTATCTGCCAGCCACAGAGCGCCACTTTATAGCAAAATGAAGTTGCTATAAAATGCTGTATGTATCAAATATGCTAAATATATCAAAGCACCACAATAAATGGAACATTGAGCAACATATCTGATGTGAATTGAAAATTTTAACGATGGCACTTGACAAAATGTAGTCTTATTGGTTTACATATCTGTTGACTATATGATGATTTTTTTTTTACGCCTTTAAGAAACTCCTGCTCTTTCTGAAACTCCGCCTTCAGGAAGTCATCATATTTCTCCTCTATAACCCTTTAACAACGTTTTCACAGCGTCTCACTGAGAAGCAGCTCCAAAAAGGAGCTCAGCAGATGTGCAGTTCCACCAGGTGTTTGCTAATTGCTGCTGGCTAGTCTGAAGGAGCTGAGTGAGGGAGGGCTGCCCTGTGAGGCGGCGCTCGGAAGCTGCAGCTGTGAGGAGGAGCTCTGTATTTGAAGGCAGCGCTAGGTCCACTGAGGCATTTTGCACTGGCTGAATGGCTGCCATGGAAAATTAAAGGATTCCTCAAACGTGCAAGGAAGAATCAAGGCAACACTGCAGATATGTTTTTGCTGAGGGGATAACATTATATAACATGATGTAAAGCTCAGAAAGTCAATTTTACATAATCCTGCCCCTTTAAAAGCCCACAGCTGCTCTGAGCTCCAGAGATTATTGTTGCTAAGGCTTGGGAGGGGAAGTAGGACCAAACTGTATTTACCTGAAAGTGAACCAGCTTAGCAATGTTTGGGTCAGCAATGAACATCTGATGCAGCAGACAACAGATGAGGCACTGGACTTCCCTCAGGTCACTGAGCAGCCCCCCCTCCGGCTCGGTGTCATCCACTCTCCCTCTGCTCGTCATCGGCGGCAGGCTTCCTTGTTTTGGGCCCCGATTGGTCCTCAGAAGGCCCTCCGTGGCGGCCCCCAGCAGCTGCTCTTCAGAGGTGGGCAGACAAATCTCCAGGAGGATCTGGACAGCCGCGCTGTCCTGCAGGCCCCACAGAGACAAGCGGTTATCAGGTTGTCAGACCCCCCATGGGGTGTTGGATGCCACCCCGATGTTTTGATGAGTGTTTCACTCACCTGCGCGGCCAGAAGGGCGTTCTTCAGCTCCTCTCTGGTGACCTCGGGCGTGTCTGGCTGACCGGGAGCCGCCACGTTGGAAATGATCTGATTCTGCCGATCAAAGTCGGCCGTCTCCTTGAGGTGACACTGAAGGTAGGCCTTGGAGGCCAGCAGGTATCCGTTCAGCATGTGAAGGACAATGTCCATCAGAGGGGGACACCTGACGAAGAAATGCAAACAACATCCATTTTACTCATTTGGGCATCTGCTTGGGTCTCGATGTACGTTATCAATTAATGAGTTAATCTGAAGTAGGTTGATATATTTTCTTGAAAGGCTGAGTTTGCTCATATATCAAAAGAGATGACCACCTTTCCTTAACATACAGGGTTATATTTTCCACAATATGCTGAATTACAAAAAACCCCATGAAATTTTAATATTACTTTGTGTCAGCTATATTAAAAACTGAATAAACAGAAAATTGTGGTTTTCTCACACTGTTAAATTTAGACATATTTATATAATAAAAAAAAGGACGTCTTAGGTTGCTGAATAGAAAAATAAAAGATGAAAAGAAGAAAATATGTGAAACACTTGATTTCTCATGAATACAGAGATATGTGTGGTAGATATTGAAGGAAGTTCATTAACTCACAACAACCCTCAAAATCAAACGTGCTCATTGTTATCATGGGTTTTTTCCCATCATGTTGCATTTTTCCTGCATTTTCTCCTCTACTTTTCATCATCAGTAAAGCTTTGGCGAGAAGTTGATGTTGCCACGTGACTGAATGAGGTGAAACTTAAGTAGCTTGTTGATTGTTGTTGACATTTTAAAATGGAACCGTTCTGGTATGGCCCCGCCATCTTTGTTTCTGTATCAACTGACTCTGCTTAAGAGTAACCAGCAACGCCCTCATCTGGATGGTGGCCAAACTACAACACTAAAAGAAGGTCCAAGTGGATGTCATCAATCGATTAATGGTCTATTAGATTAAAATTAACTAACCTATTAATCTTTTGCATCCCTAGTGTGTAGGTAGCATGGTTTGATGATGAAGTGCAGTGTTTACCTGTAGACCCTCTGATCACAGCGCAGAACAATCAGAGGGTCGACCATCAGGTCGTTCTGCGTGTACGTCTGCTGCCGGAGCAGCTTGGCTGAAGGTTGAAGGGCGTTTACTGTCATCACCCATAACCTGAAACAGGAAGAGAAATAAAAGAGCCTCATAAACGTCGCAGGCAACAAAACCACAATAAACAGTCCAACAGCTGATAAAGTATTCTGGGTTTGTCTCTACCAGCTTCAAACACCTGACTGAATTTTTTTTTTTTTTTTGCCCTATACCACTTTGTAAAGTATCTTAAATCTGATTGGATGGAGTGTGTTTGCGCTACAGTGCCCCCTATGGGACACATTCGTTCATGTGGATGAAAACGTTTTAAAACTGGATAAGGACTGAGACATTTAAGGTCATAATTTTAGACATGTGGACACACTGACTAAGTTTTGTTGCAAAACATGACAATGTAAACTTCCCTTTTTTTTTTTACCAACTACTGAAATAAACCCAAACACAGTGTAAAGCACATCTCTGTATGACATTAATAGCTTAATTTACTAAGACTAGCTTATGGAAAGTTCGCCCCCGTCAGGGAGAACCAGATATTGATCTCTGAACAGCAGGTAAAGCTGCAGCTCCAAGCCCTTCAAGCGTCTTGCACACTCCTATTAATCAATGCATCTGTGTGAAACCTGACACCGCTGCCCTCCTCCCAGCTTCACCAGGACCCCGCTCTTCCATCTCTGCAACACTCAACATAAGAGGGAGCATGGAAAGATACTAAAGTCAGCGGGGAGGCAGCAATCCCTCACATCTCCTTCATGGAGAGTTTTCCTGCCCTGAGCTCTTCTTGTTGCAGGCCTCCTCTGGATCGATAGGTCTGCTCGGAGCTTAGGTAACCATGCTCCTTAGAGCCCTGGGGCGCACTGAGGGTGACCCTCATGTAAGCAAGCAAGTCCACCCACACCGAGAGTTGCTTTGCTCGATAGCGATCTATTCACGCAAACAGCGAGCGTGAGGCCCGAAGTTAAGAGGAACAACTTCTGCCCTGCAGGTTTCGCTATAACCCTCTGAGTCACATTCTTTAGAGGCAGAACATCTAGTCATCATCAATATTCAAGACCGAATTTGAGCAATAAACTTTTAATCTGTAAACAAATGTTTATTTAAAGGATTTCAAACCAGGCAGAATTTGATAGAATTTCTATTATTAACATAATACAGTAAATGTATTCTTGTATGCGTGTTCTTGTTTTTTTTTTTCTTGTTTTAAGTTTTATCACATGGAGCACCAAGTAGCACCTGCGGGGCATCACAGTGTTGAGGCCCATCCAGAGCTTGTTGAGGGTCTGCAGCAGGCGTCGGGGTACGCCAGGCTCCAGCAGCAGGGCCGTGCTGGCTGTGAGGGCCTCTGCGTAAGGGATCAGGTCTCCAGGTGAGAGCAGAGTCAAATGCTCCAGGATCCGCATGAGCCTGGGACTGCTGGAGGGCAACTTCTGGAAGGCTGGAGAAACAAAAGGTCGCATTTATCTTCGAGCCAGAGAGCATCTCGGCGTCTTTCTGCAGTAATTTCTGGCTCAGCTGCGACAGGAAACAGATCAAACGGTCACTGGACAATTTCACCAGGTTGGGGAGCAGTAACGGACTTTTAAACTCTCACCCATTTCTGGTGAGAGTTGGACTCTGCCAAGGATGGATGGGCCTAAAAAAGTGACTCGACTAAACTTGGTTCTCATCGATCTTACCCTGGTGCAGTTGGTTCTGGGTGTATCTGCAGGTATTACTGGGAAGCATCATCCTTCTGAGAAGGGGTAGCGTGCCCGTCACCTCCTCCTCACACACCCAGTCCTCCACCAAACACAAGTGAGGGTAGTTGGTGGCCAAAAGTCTCAACAGTGCAGAGTGCAGACCTGGAATCAGCAACAATTGTTGTTTTTATAACTTTCCACACAGCAAATTAATTATGTTTTGAGAAAAATAAAATGAACACCAGTTTGGAGCATCTTTTGTGTGGATGTTGCTAATGAGTGAAAATCACTCATGACACTTTTTTTTTTTTTAGCATAATCAGAGGCGAGTAGAGTACCCAAAAATTGTACTCGGGTAAGAGTGGCACTGCTTCAATGTGTTTTTACTCTAGCAAAATTAAAAAGTTTAAGAAATTACTCAAGTAAGTGTAAAAAAAGAATCTGGTTAAAAAAAATTTACTCAAGTACCGAGGACCTGATCAGAACATTTGTTTTAATATTTAAACTGATGTGATCCGACAGACAAAAATGTAAAGTTAGGTTCAATTACAGCTATTTTATTAATTATTTTATTTATTTATTTATAAAAAAAAAATGAAAACAGTAATAAATAATAAATAAAACATAAGAATTTGGCATAACCTCACAATCTCCATCTAAAGAAAAGAAATGTGTTTAAAGACTAAAACAATGAAAATTAATAAAAATAAATAAGATGTATGATTTTGCATATGTTGTCAATATGATGTTTTATTAATTTACATTACTATTTCACTTCCTAATAGTCTTTAAATATATTGTTTAGAAAAGCCAATGTAGGGACATCTGCTGCCGATAAGCACCTTGATACAGACATGGAAGTGATGCTCTATTCAGTTTGTCTACATTATTGTGTGTCTGTCCCTATCAATTAAACAATAAATACTACACACCTCTGAGTATAACTGAGGTTTTTAGTCAATTTGTCTTCAAATGTTAGTAAAGCCCTGTTTTACACCGGCTTCAAGAGAAACCGGATTTGGCTAAAAATCGGTATCGGTGGGTCAAAAGCCTTAAGACATCTGGAGATCAGAAATTCAAATCGCTGCGTCTTTAGTTTCTAACAGCCAGTTTAGTCTAACGAATGTAGATATCACATTGGAAACTCACCCCCCAGCTCCTGCTGCAGCCCCTGGGCCTGAGTAACCAAGTACTTAATAGGGATCTGGTCCATTAAGGCTGCGGAGTAAGACTTTGGCTTCCTCTGCATCAGTGCTTCAAAAACAAAACACACACACAGAGAGCATCAAACGGTGAGCACAGAAGAAGAAAGACGAAGATTTGATTTGGTTTGTATAAGGGCACTAAAGCTGCAGCGCTGATGAGTTCAAGAAATTCAGAAGTGATCTTTCTTTGATGTGGGTTCATTACCACGCTGATGGGCTTCATTACTCCCCCCTTGAAGGCTATGGGAGCACTTGGGTAAGCACAGCAATTAAAGGGATGGGCATAAACTCTCACATAAATCTGGCCTAATGAAGGGCGAGAGGAGCGCCCGACATGTGGGAGAACAAACAGACTATGTGGCTTAATCTGGCCTGTGTGTGTGTGTCCTAGTTAGCTGTGATCCCACAGCCACCGGACTTGGCCGTTTGTCAGCTCGCCGTTTACTCTCGACGAAGTCACCAACGCTTGGTGCCAAGAGAGAGGAAGATGAATGACCGCTCATCCACGGTGGAAGCGTCTTCTACGAGATTAAAGAGGTCAGACAGCTTCCTACCTCCTCTTGATGCCTGACAAATTCCCCTCAAATGAACACCAGCAACATTGTTCAGCGACGGAAGTGACAGCGGACGAGCTATGGCCTTTTCCACCAGAGCAGGGATGCACGACGCACTTTTTTCACTTCATATACTGAGACAGATATGTAAAAATAATAAATCGTGACGTCGCTCAGAGCACAGAAGCAGAGAATTAGACTGAATAGATGTGCCCTTACGGATCAGACACAATGTCAGAGATACGCGTTTTAGTCATTTTTAAATATCGGGATCGATACGGGTATCAATATCGGATCGCTGTATCTCTGCGACAGACAGGAAGTGAGCTGGCGTCACAGTGGGAGGGCCTGCAGGGCGTTTTTTCTCTCACCCAGCTGTTTGGTGCTAGCCAGCAGGTTCTCTTCGAAAGACAGGATGTAGTAAAGGATGAGCAGCTGCGTGGTGATGGAATAGCGCTGCCGTCCTCCTCGACTGCCATCACCCTGCTAAACAAAATATTAACAAAAGAAGAGAAATTACTGACTGTAGGTCAGAGGCCTAGTTAAAGCCCTGGTCTCAAACGGGTGTTCACAGACGGTCAGCATTTCAGATATTTGACAAATTTCAGTCTCTAGAAGTGCAACCCTGGTAGAGACGAACCCTAAAGGGCTTGTAGATTAAAACAAATCGAATCCACACATAAAACTGAGGAAACACTGAAGAAGATGTGATGCAGTGTCTGTTGTCGTTCATTTTCTAAGTTGCAGAATGAGATTCTCGCGGTACCGGTCGGGAATGACTCACCCCTGCAGAGCTCTGGAAGACATTGAGGATCTCCTGCTCAGTAATTGGCTGATTGGTGGCCTCGGGGTTGGCCTTGGACGCTGGAGTGAGGATGGAGTTGATGTAGGCATCAATTAGAGGAATCAGCTGCGTATGGATTGGCGTGGTTGTTTCACACAGCTGACGGTAGATCCAGTCCTGGAAGGTTCACACATATTTAAGTACGCACTGAGATTCCCTAAAGGATTTAGCTCTGGGGCTTCAGGTTGCCGTGGCAACGTCTGCTGAACCACATGCTCTCAATTGGCCAAATGTTAAAACAACTTATTTTCTATTAACTGGCAGAAGACATAAGATTTAATTTTATTAAACATCTTGTTATTCCCAGGAGTTCATGATGCCAAGATTCCCAGTTCCACTGGAAGAGCCAAACCAACCTTAGTTATAAATCACATGTTAGCGCATCAAGGAATGACCAAAGAGCTTTTATTTTGTAAAAATAAAAAAACAAAATAAATTAAATTCTGAAGCAGTAGACCCAAAGCATCTCAAATCCTCCACCACTCTGATAATCAGGTCTTGTTCCACTTATTCATCCAAATCCCAGTTTTTACTGGTAAAAAGGTTAATATTCACCTCATATGACCAAATTCCCAGTAGAGTTTAACAAACCTTGTATGTAAGTTTGTGATTACAGGACAGAAAACCGATTTAAAGAACGAAAAATTGGTTCATAATTCATCAGAGCTGTCATCCTTCATCATCTCGATGAAGGATTAAATTAGTTTGAATGATTTCTTATCCTTTTTATAATAACCGTGGTAGCAGTTTCCTTTGTTTTGTATTGACTAAATGTATTTGTTGACAAAATTTGCTCAATTTCTCATTTAGAAAGACAAATTGCAAGACAAATTTCTGAGACGAGGAGCAGCAGATGAAAAATAGCCATTGTTGTGCTATCATATTCACTGATAAATAAAGTCACTGATTACTAATTAGAATTTGCTTGAAAATCTAGTCAACTTAAAAAAGTACATTAAAAACCTAAAATTAAGAGTAACAATAAATATGCCATCTGGGATTTTGTTAAAAAAAAAAAAAAAAACTCCCAAATTAAAATTTATATTTCTTTTGTCAAGGAAAACATGATATTGCAATAAAATATGAACCTAATGCATATCTTTTTACAGATTCTAATAAGGAGCTTCATCAAATTGGTCGGCATTTACAAGAATTGGCATAATGATGGAGTTTTGATGCATCTGTAATCTCAGCTGAATGTTAGCATTAGCGTGAGACGAACCTTAATGGACACTTTGTGCTTGGTGAAGGCTCTGCTCCGAAGCAGCTGGTAGATACAGTGAATGGGAAGAAACCCGGTGATGTTGGCACTCAGGCTGTTCGTCACTGCCACCCTCACAGCATGAGCCGTAACCACCTACACAGAAACAACGGGACACTGAGACACAACACCTTATTCATTTAATCACCGACTAACTAGCATTCTTGAAAAGCAACGTGTCACCAGATCATATAATATCATTTATTTCTAAATAAACGCAACTGCCTGATTTATGTTTTGTTTTTCCTTCATGGTTTTTTTTTTTTTTTTTACTCATTCCACTTAAATCCACTCAAATGCATTTTACACATGCTTTTTTCTTTATGTTGCGTCTAATGCAATTTATAGTCTGGAAATTATGGTAATCTGTATCACCTCAACAAATTGAAAAGCATTTTGTAGCTGAAGAAAAGTCGGGACACCCCGTACCCTGATAGATAATCTCTCCTATGGCGTTCAAATAATCACTGTATTTTCCGCACTATAGAGCGCATCTTACTATACCTATACCAACAAAGTTTTTTTTTAAAAGTACATATATAAGCTGCACCGGGCTAGGCGTTGATATCTCCGTTTTTCACAAGGAATACAGCAATAAATCTGCTATTAAGGCCGCAGCTCTGCGTCTCCAAACATGGATTCCTTCACCAGATTACATGAGGAGATCGATGGCCTTCAACTTAAAAGCTGCATCATATGAACTTCTTCCTGTTGTTTCCATGATGAGTTTGAAAACATTTCTCCGACGTGCCTGCTGCTAGAATGTGCTTGTTCTAAATGAAAATTAGCGCTTTCTTCTTTGATTTCCAATTTTGACTTCCAACGACTCACTTCCTGCTAAAGCGCCCCCTGGTGGTTGAAAAAAAAAATCCACAGGAAAGCCGCACCAGGCTATAGTCGCATGGGTTCAAAGCGTGGGGGGAAAAGTAGAGGATTATAGTCCGAAAAATACGGTATGTTCATGTTCTTTGTAGCAAGCTTATTTTAGAGAGCAAAGAGTTTTTCCTCACACATCTGTTGTGGAAGTTAAGCTAGTTGACCTAAAATTGATTTTAAAAATTCATGTCTAAATATTTTAGAAGACGGGGTCTTTTTTTATGGGGTCTTTTTTAAATTTTTTTATTTCTTAATACCTGAACAGAAAATACACGCCAGCGTGGACGGACGGCATAAATACCTGCTCCGTGAAAATCTCCTGAGTGAAGATGGTTTTCATTTTGCTCAGAGAGCTCGGCTTGATGGCAATCTGCGAAAAAGATAAACACCCACCGGACAAAAACAACAAGAAGAAAGAAAGAAAAGAAAACAATGAGAAACATCGACAGCGAGAGGTTCGCTGCGACTGAAAACAACCTCCAGGCAAGCAGCGCTGGTATTTTGTAATTCCCTCCTTTCATATTTCATAAGAAAATTCTACATGGCAGGCAGAGCGCTGAATTGAAAGGAATGCCCTGGGGGTGGAAACAAACAGGCTCTAAATCCAATTACATTACACATCTTAGTGGAAAAACACACTGAGACAGGAAAACTACTTAGATCGCAGGGAGGAAACAATAGTGCACTTAATAAGTAATAAAATGGCAAATTGGCCACAGGGTATGATGCGTCTTGCTTGATGTGTGTATGCTGCGAGTGTTTCATTAGTATTATAGTGTGTATGCACTGCTGCTGCTGCAGATGAGAGGGAGGAGTGGGGGCCAGTACCTGGTCAGTCAGACAGATTTATTGATTTAAGTCTCCCTCCCACCTTACCTTCATCCCCAAAGTAGAGCACACCAACTCAATAATGGAGCTGAGCTGGTTGCTATGGAAATACATGGCAACCAGTAATAGCATCTCTCCAAAAGAAGCAGATACGCCTGCAGCACTGTAAGAAAGACACACACACACACACACACACATATGCATGAGAGGCGACTGAGGATAGGCATCAAGGCTTGTGCATAATCCAGGATCCTATTGGGACGAATTTTAAATAAAATTGATTCGTTTCCATAATCTTCCAGTCCACACACTGCATCGGTGTAGATCAAACTCCAGCTCAGAGCATACATGATATTATGCACCTCAGTCGCAATGAGGATGAGTAGAGTCTCTTTGACAGATAAAACAATGTGCAGAGTTGGCTCATAATTCTACAAAAAAAAAAAGAAAAATAAAATCTAACAGTTAAATCTAACTTTTAGACACTGAAAACAAAACAAAAAAAAACATATATGCAGAATTTCAACATCCACAGGAGATGCATAGTTGAACGTTTCAAGAAACTGAGGCTGAAGTTTTCTCGCGAGGCACGAGAGCAACAAACGTCCAGAGCTGTGCTAACAACAACTCAGCTATGATTATGTGAACGCATCGGAAGAGAACTGAATCAGATTTCAAATATTTAAAACTAGAAAAATAAATGATGAAACTCGGAGATGAGCTAAAAATTATACCGTTAAGGTTAATTTCCTAAAATGCTTTCACATACCAGCTAACATTCCTTCAATGCTAACTTCAAGTAGAACCATCTCTATTATGATGATTTTTTTTTTTTTTGCTAATCTGAATGTTTGCAATATTGTTTTGAACTTAATATTATATTAAAAAAGGTCTCAAAATATTTAACATGCATTTCTGGGATGGAAATTTCCTGGATCCTCTTTTAAATGTTTTATCTACTCTAAGAATTACATTCTGATTTTAACACAAATACAAATCTCATCATTATTTATTTAGAGAAAAACAAAACAAAAAGATTCATGAACATGTTAGTTGTTGTTTTTATTTTCATTAAAAAGGGCAAAAATAATGTCTGGTAAATTAATAAAACAAACCATAAACAGAACACACACCTGTGGAACCTCAGCGGTGAATTATGAGGTGAGATTTATAATTTAGATTAACAGCTATATTGAGATGAACCTCAACAGTATTCATTTAGCCAGACCTATTGACTAGCTTTATTGACATTTAGCCAGTTGAAGAGATTCAGCTAAACATTAATTAAACAAAAAGATGTGGTTTGCACGTTGTTGTTTTTTTTTTCCTTTTCTCGCCCGACGTCTTACCTTTCAAAATATTCCTCCTCTTTGATCATCCAACTCAACCACATGACCATCAGCTGTTCTTGCTCTGGTGTGCTACACAAACACAGAGATGCAAATAGTTGTAATAAAACTTGAGAAATAAATAAAGACAATATTTAAATAGACTTTTTGAAACGACATTTTCGCAAATACATTCAGATGAAGGTGATAAGGTTAAATTATTACAGACAGGAAATCTGAAAGTTACATTAATAGCATTAGGGATGCACCAATCCACTTTTTTTCACTTTCGATAACCGATCCGATACAAAAGACAGCGTTGAATTGACTTAAAATGTTTCTGATTTTTTAAATACAGACGTAAATATATTCAATTACACATTTATTTGATAACTCTGCTCAAATTCAGGAAACCTATTTTAAATACACCAATAGTTTCACAAGCTTTTAAAAACAAAACAACTTTAATTTGTTCAGTCAGTGCAATTAGGAGCGTAACAGCCAATAAAGAAACTGACAAAAACAATAGAGCATGTGAAAATAAACTGCAACAAGCAAGTGGTTAAAGTGCAATTAGAAATCCTAAATATAACGCAAAATAAATAAAGCATGATGTCACTGAGAGCACAAAGCATAGAATCAGACTGAATAGATCTGCTCTGATGTATCAAACAAACTGTCACCAATACTCAATCTAGATTTTTTTTTCCATACCAGAACCGATACAGATATTAACATTGGATCGCTGTATCTCTAATTCGCATACAGTATGTGTTGCAGGGCATAAAACAAACAAAAAAAAAAACCTTTGTGTACCTGACCAGGGTGGGGAAGGCCAGCAGCTTGCAGAAGGACAGAGAGACGAAGCGAACCCCAGCAGGAGTGGCTGGAGGTCGGCTGGTCATCAGCTGCAGCAGCTGCTCCGCTTCTTCATCCGTAGGTCTAAATACGAGTCCAATTAAAGCCAAGCATCACACTCGAAAACAAACAAAAGGTGAGAATTGACGACCCCCAACAAGAGGGCTGAGCGACAAACGTGGCATCTCACCTGAGCCCGGCGATGCCCATGAGGGCGCAGTAGAGCCGGAGCAGAGCGCTGGCCTTCACCACGTGCTCCTCCCTGAGACCCGAGTAACCCGAGCCGCCCCCGTCCTCCACGTTGGCGTCGTTGGGCACGTGTGTGCTGCGCGAGCGCGGCAGGATGGCCACCAGCTCCAGTAGCAGCTGTCTGCGCATCTGCCACAGCACGGAGCTGCTCTCTCTCTTCCGCTGGCGGAGCGAAGGAGAGGAAGACCTCTGAGCCAAACGCTGAGCTCCAGCATCACGGTTGCCATCGCAACATAATCCTCTTTTAGCCTTGTTTAGCGAACTACTAAACTTAAGTACCGAATAATGACTATTATGAAGATGCACGACGTCACTCACACAGGTAAGACTTTCCTGTGAGCTCAGAGAATCATAAAAGCTGAAATAACTGAAATCTTTTCAGTTTTCTGCTCCGTCTTCTTGGGACAAGTTACAGAAAAACCTGAAGCCAAAGGTGCTGTTGTCTGTGGATGCTCTGTAAACTCTGTGTACTGCTGCCAAGTCTTGAGCAGGACTCTCTTATGAAAGAGATTTTTAATCTCACTGGTATTTTCATGGTACAATAAAAGTTAATAATGATTTTCAGGAAAAGGTGTGAACAATGAAACAATAGAGTAAAGAACTTCCTGCTTACCTGTTGCCCGTTGCGGATGAACATGCTGAACCAGGTCCGGACTTTGCTATTGGTTCCCAGGAGCAAACCGCTGACGTAAGACACAAGCGGGCTGACGGCCTCGTCCGCCGTGTCCGGTTTGTAGTCCAGAGTAAGAGCTACGCCAAGACCGGGCAGGTGGCACTCCTCCACCTGGACGCACACCGTAGAGGGTTTATCACAGGGTGGGGCAATGCAGCTTAAAAATAAAACCACTCTCTCTTTTTTTTTTCCCTTAAGTTTTTGGTTTTTACAAATGACAGAAAATGTCTTAAAGGAGGGCGTTGGTGAAAATAAATAAATCAGAATTTTCAAAAAAATAAAATCTTCAAAAATAGAAAATTCAATTAATCGATAAAATCGATTTATGGCCCATCCTCAATTTATCATAATAAGCTCATATTTTTCTGTACTTGTGTATGGATGAATGACACACCAGTTGGATATAAGCCTGCTACGATAAGCAATAAATTAATCAATCATCAGTTTAATTAAAATGAGATCACTTCCATTTGAACAACAGTTTAAAAAGTTTCCTAATATTGTTAAAAAGCCAGCATTTTGAAAAATGCTGCAAACATTTGACACCCAGTATGAAGTAGATAGTTTGCATCTTTTCTTTTTTCTTTTACAAAAATTGTAATTGGCACTTTTGCGTTTTTTTTCCATGTCTAAGCTGAATGATTGATATTTTTGAAACAAAATTTTGATTACAAATCCATTTTACTTATTATTCTTGAGTTGTTTTATTTAGTTATATTGGATAATTCAAATCTTTTCCAGTTCCAGTGTAAAGTGTTCCTTATAAATTAAGATTTTTTTTTTTATCTTTGAGAGGGTGTACTTAAATTAATGTTATTATTGTTACGTTAGTTGAAAATGGTCTCAAAATGACAATATTATCGTTTTTCTCATTAATTTGCGGGATACTTTATCGTCCAGTGAAAATTGCTATCGTGACAAGCCCAGTTGAACAGACGGAATAGAATAGAGGAAAAAGAAATGTGTAAATTCAATTATTTGTTTATGCAAATATTCACTTTTTAATCCCTGATCAAAACCCCCAAGACACTTGAATCAAAGTCCACATCTCTCCAGACTTTTTCAAACTGCGTAGAAACCCTGAGACGGCGATCAGACCATGAAACGGTCGGGAAACTAAAAATACTTTTAAGCACAGCTTCACGTTAACTCCGCAGCCCTTCTGTCTTAGTGGAGCCGCGCGGGAGGCAAGTCGTGCTGAGGCATCATTCTGCGGAGCAATGAATTTTCACAACCTCCCGGGGCCTTGTTCAATAACTGACCTAACGCTGCAACCTCCTCCAGAGGAGGAGGGAAGCGAGAAGACAAATTTCTCCCCTCAGGGTTAGCACCGCACAGTGGATCGCAACATAAATCAGCGAGGAGACAAATCTCTTTTACTAACCTCTACCACGCGAGTCCGTCTTGGTAGAGAGAGAGGGAAAAGGAAAAAAAAAAAAAAAAGTTGACAGCAAAATAGTGCCAATTACACAACAAGTGTTCAGACTTAACATGCATTACTTTTGTTTTTAAGATTTCGTCACTTTGCAGAGCAGAAACGCAGACTGCTGTAAATTAATATGTTACTAAGGAAGTCTGCTAAACCACTACGGATGTGTGATTATGTTGGAATCACACTCGGTATTTAATTCCACCATGTTTCTACAAACACAGCAATCCAGCGACATAAACATGTCCTCCCGCAAACATCTTCCAAGAAAGAAGATGATGAAGAGAGACGTGCGACTCGTATTTATTTTAGATTAGCCATGAATAGTAATGCAGGAAAGAACATTAAGGGCAGCAGAGTGAGGTTGCTGCAAATGTCTCCAGCAGAGAGATACTGAGCCAAGAATGATGAATCCATCCCTCATCCAAACTTTTCAGGGAGGTTGTAGAGTTACACTGACTTGCTTTCATTATGCTTTCCTGACCTTTTATTCCCAAGAACCTTTGTGGAGAACTCTGTCTGTATCTAGAAATTCGAGAAGGTTCTGTTCAGGGGATCAAATGTGAAACCGTGGAGATGATGGCGCGAAAAAGGATTCTTCATAAAATTAAGAAAAACATTAACAAACCCGAGCATCCTCTTCGTGTACAAGAACAGTGTGTCTTCGGTCAGAGGCTTCTTCAAATTTGCTGTGGCACAGACCGCTACAGGAGGTCCTTCTTGTCCTTACAGCATCTCTTAGAAGAACCGTTGATGATATGATGGTATGACATTTAATATGGAATCAGTTTTTGAATTTGAATTGATTTGTTGGCTCAAACATGCAAGTGTGTTGAAAAAAGCAAATGAAAATAAAGTGAAATCACCAAAAATGTTGTGATAAAAAGAAAAAAAAATCAGATTGTAGCCCCAAAACTTCAGATGGTTTTTGCACATGTTCCTCGTTAAATGACAGGCATCCTTATTATTTTGGGCTTGATTGAAGAAAATTGAAAACAATATTTTGTCTGTTTTCAGCGATAAAAACAGGATCTAGATCACTCTTCATTTGATGTATTTAACCAAGTTTTAATACAGCAACCGAAAAGAGATTTGGATGCACCAAGGTGTACTTTAGATTATCAGTCAATAAGTAGATCTGCTCCTATTTAGCATGAAAATAGAAGGAAATCAGAACTACAAGCCATTTTTTTTTATTCTTAAGAACGTCTGAGGCACGGTGGAGAAGCCTGAACAGGTTGTTGCTAGGTAACCAGAGACTGAGTGAGTTCATTGATGCCACCAGCCTTGCTCAGGTGGCCATGAGAGGTTGAGCAGTAAGACGTTTTCCTTCTGCCTACATCTCCCAGAATGCTGTGCGGTTCTGGATCGGAGTTCAGTGAAAGTTTTATATATTGAATACTCTCTCTGATGTATTATCTATTGATTTTGATGGGATGTCAATCACGACATATTGGTCAAAAAAAAAAAAAAAACATGCCTCACAAGCCTCACTTTGAGCATCCTTGGGCTAAATCAAAAAGTACTCTCCCACTGTTAGGGGATTCTGGGTGCATTTTTACCCTGATAATTAGTTTTCACCCAGGTAGATGAAGTGGAAACTGAGAAGGATAAACAACGACCTCCATGAAATCCAGCAAGGTCAGGGAAAAGGTTGCCCGTGGGCTCAGTCTGGAGTCTTGTGATTACATTAACAGGGCGACTCACCACCATGGCTCTGATGTTCAGGGCTTGCGAGGGGTTCATCTGACAGAGCTGCCTGAGGGCTTCGGTCCTGCGCCGACCCCCCACGCTCTCCTCGTCCTGACGCTCCCCGTTCTTGATCAGCCCTCTGCAAACTGAACCCAAACACAGCCGCATCTTAGCGCCTCTTAAGGCATTTGGTCGGATTTCACATGTGGAGGAATCCCAGTCCGACGGTTTACCAAAACAACAGCCTTGGAGACGGTGATTTCTCTGTTGCTATGGCCCGGTCTCGCCCTCCATTAGCACCGAACGCCACTGAATCGTGACTCATTGCCGTCGGGGGGGAACGCAATTCTAATCTCATCAGGGAGGCATTATCTCATTTTTCCTCTAGTTCCCCCACAGCAGTCGGCTTATAAAGTAAAATGTTATGACTGAATAAGACTGTGGCATGTCCTCGAATCATATCAGTTTCCCTCTCTGCTGAATCTAACATCTTTGTGGGGAAAAAATAAAATAAAATACTCGCAAAGTTTGAACTGCCTGTCAGTCGCAGTTAAAAAGGACTGGCCTTGATGCTTCTAGACGTCCCATTTATTACACTTAGGCTTTATTCTCAAAAAGTCTTTCAAGTCAAGCAGAAAGGATTTCTTGATGCTAACGCAGGAATACTCTATTGACTCGGCGCCGACCCTGTTTGTGATAAGGAGGCACTGGAGACAACAGAAGATCTCCTCTAATTTGCTTCTTTAAGCACACATGGCTCTCTCTGCGAGCCGGAGAACTCAATGTTTATCATCAAAGACAAATGCACGCGCCCTCGGGGACTCTGGCGAGGTCAGAATTAAGAGGGGAACTGGCTGGAGTGATGCAAAAGACTGGAAGCTTAAAGTTACATTGGCCTTTAAATATAATAAACCGATCAGTGGGTGTTTTCTGAACGGCCGCTGTTCAATAAAGACGTGCGGCCCTCCGAGACAGAAGGCTTACCTTCGCTGAAGCTGTCTGGGACGTTGGCGACCAGCAGGCACATGAACCAGTCGCCGTTGCGGACGTGAAGCAAAGCCTCCGCCACGTCCACGATGGGCAGCAAAGACGGCAGCTCTGACAGCGGGACGGAAAGCACGCAGAGGCATAAATATACATGCATCCCAATAATGCTGCATAATATAAAACAAATATGTGATGATACTGGTGAATGTTGCAATTATAATATTAACTGTGATAAACTTTGCTTTGGGTTCACAGTAAACACCCAGATAAGGAGTCGTTTGTCCCAATAACAACCAGCGCAGAGAGTCCAAATGCATGCTACTGTTAATGCAGTCAAAGCAGTTCTTTGCAAAATGCAAACGGCGAACACTGTTAGAGCAATGACAATAAATCTGCAATAAACCGTGCAGGCCCAGCCAACACCATACTAAAAATCCTACTGTAGCCAGCTGGGTGCTTCAACAGGACAATGATCCCAAATAGACAACAGAACTATTAAACTTCTGAGATATCAAGAATGGTAAAGATTTTTGAACTATGTTTAAAATGTACTTTTGTGTAAGGAAACAAGCTTATTTAAATAAAACCATATAGGAAGAGTGACCAAAATCAAGCCAGGATTATTGCCAGGGTAATGCTTATTCTACAAGGACATTCATCCAAATCGTAGTGGGGGTGTATATAAATATTTGAGCCTGAATATAAAAACAGTTGTGTGAGACTAGTTTCTCTCTTTTTAAAAGTCACTGAAGTTAATTGTTGTAAAATAATTCCACCATTAAAAAAAGTGATCGAATATATTAAAAGTCCAAAAGCAGTGTGTTATTTAGGCCCAGGATTAGTGAATGGGAACTACAGATGATGTGTCTGTGAGGAAAATATCAGTAAATCAAACACACACGCACGCACGCACACACACGTTTGTGTTGCTATCTTTGTGGGGACTTTCCATTGACTTCCATTCATTTCTACAGCCTAAACCTTACCTTTACCCTTTTCCTAACCCTAACCATCACATACCTAACCCTAACCCTAACCAAAACTCAATTCATACTTTAGCCCTAAATCTGACCCCTGACCCAAAAACAGGGTTTCCCCTTGTGGGGACCAGGCTCCGGCGATTGGTCCCCACAACGTAGTATATGTCAGGAAAATCGTCCCCACAAGGTATTACAAACAAACGCACACACACACACACACACACACACACACACACACACACACACACACACCTATTTCTAAATTTATTATCTATTTCTACTATGAGTTTCAAAGGCACAAATACAAAATCTCAAAATAAAAGCCACAAAAGTTTAGATGATGTACTGCCATCATTTCTGGGGATATTTGACTTTTCTAACAGAAGAGCATCTGTGAGGTCAGACACTGATGTTGGACAAGAAAGCTTGTCGAGCAGTCTCTGCTCTAATTTATCGTAAAGGTTTTCTGTCATCTCCAGAAAAGAGGAAAAAGCGGATTTGTTACCTGCTTGTAAAATACAGAGGACATCTGCCACTTCCTCCAGATAGACGGGGCTCTCAAAGAGCTCAGAAGACTTCAAGAAAAACTCCCCATTGGAGTCTGTCACCTGAAAAATGAAAAGACAAGAGAGAAATATTCAGCTTCACCCGGTGACGAACTGATGGAAATAAATGGTAAGCAAGTATTTTTGTGTTTTGACTGAATAATTTCCACCTGAAATATGTTTTAGCAATAATATCTTATTCTTGTTTTTTGGGTTTTTTTACATAAAGAAGCCTCACTAAGACAGCACCACCAATAAGTTCAGAATGCAGCATGGCCAACGGCATGCGAGAACCTTATTCATGATGGCCAGCAACTCGCTGAGAGTCAGACGGAGCCTTCTGAGCGGATCGCTGTGTTCAAACTCCAGGGTGAGTCCGTGCTGCAGCTGCGACACCAGGATGCTTTCACCGTTGGAGCCACCTGCCTTGTGCCTGGTGGAAAATACAAAATATTGTTAAAATCACTGAAGTGAACACTTGGAATTATGCATTAAGGGTACAGACATATCCCTCATCAGCCGCCGTCACAAAAGACAAACAGAAAACGTCAATAATACCTGAGCTGCTGTTCCTTCCGTGCGTCCTGCTCCAACGCGTGGAAGTCCACAGACAGAAGCGCTACGATGGAGTTGACGGCTTCCACTCCAGACAGCAGGCGCAGGATGAGCTTCTTGTCCTGCGCCCATGATTGACTCTGATCTGCGGGAGCACACAGAGCCATCCTCACCAGGCAGGGGAGCAGCAGCCTCAGCTCCGGGTCACTCAGGGCTGCGAGACGCACCACGTCAACTTTCTGCATGGCTTCGAAGGCGTAGGAGCTGACAAACTGGAGCCCCGCGCTGTCTGCCATCTCTGCTCGCTGATTTGCTGTCGGCAACAGATTACGGTGCTGTGAAAAATGTCAATATCGAAACACAGATAACCTGAGCATTCAAAAAAAAAAAAAAAAAAGTGTAGTTTTTAAAATCTATCTAGGTTAGAGTAGGAAAGTAGCTTCAGATGATCACGCCATGTCTGTTTGTTGGTTTGATGTTGTTTTTCTGAAATGCTGTTAGTTTTGAAGCAGACGTAATGGTACACACAACTACCCGTACGTTTTGGGATTCTCAAGAAGGCCACTTGTGTTTTCGACTATGATTCTGTATCTCAAATACTTAAAGCCTATAGATTCAGATATTAAGTGTTGCTTTTCTTAGCCTACTTCGTGCTGTCAAATGGGTTCTGCTTCTTGGAATTTTTGATAGGACAAGTCAGATGGTATTCAATAACATTCATTTGATCATCAAAACTATTTTGGATTGCCAGGAAAATATATATATTTTTAAAAGTATTTTTATGTGTATTTTGAGAAAACTTCAATGCAAGTAAGCATACTACTTAAGAGTTCTTGTGGCCTGCTATAAACTGACGATGCTTATGTATAAGTAACATTTACCATGTTTAAAAACTGCACAGATCCAGGGATAATTGACCTGAAAGGGGATGTGTAAACTAACAGCTGTTATTTATGTATTATGGAGGAACACGTCCATTCTTAGTCTATCATGGCTAACACAATACTTATGTAGCATTTGACTTATGGCAATGTTTTTAATAAATCTCGTTGCATGTTTGATCATTCAGTTGCAACAAAACAAGATGTATCCATCTAGTTCTTAACAACAATGTGAGGTTAATGGAGTTCTTTAATAATACTCGCTATTTTAACTTAGTGAGGACAATATATTATTTAAGTTTACAGATTAATACTCCGAATCTTTTAAGGAAATGTTAAATAACACATAATATTGGCCAGACGTTGTAATTCTATGATTCGGTGAAGCTAACTGTTAGCTGTTGTCGGCTAAAAAAAGTCGCTATTTCCCCATGATTTTAGTGCGGCTCTTAGCATGCTAATGCTAAGCTAGACAGAGAGCAACACTCCTGTGTGCTTTATCTGTTGCCTTCTCTGAATGAAACAATTATTAAAAACACGTATATTTAGACAAAGAGTAACTTACCCCACGAATTGAACTGATGCTGTAACTTCTGAGGCAAATTAAACCTCGGAGGCCTTCAGACCTCGGACTTGGTTGCGTCCAGTCAGCCGCCCAGCCTAACGTCACACGCCGGCTGCCTTTCTCCTGGATGACTGGGGGAGATAAGTTCGTCCTAGCTGACGCCGGCTGTTGTTAAGTGTCCTAACCGTTTCTATCTTTCATATTCACAAGTCTGTAGCTTCCTCTCGTATTTTTAACCCACTGCATACACAGTGGTTATATCCAGTGAGTGAACTGATGCTGTCAGTAGCGCAGTGAAGCAGTGACTGACTGTAACTACAGAGACTGGGCTCCAGACAGGCAGTGTTGTGATACAGCTGCTGAGATCTGACATTGACAGACTGCTTGTCGAGTTCGTTTAAGCATCAAACTTATTGTAACGCTTTAAAATCCAAACATAAACAGATTAAAATGACATAGTTAATTTTATTTTATACTTTTAAAAAAAATTATTGGCAAATGCTTGTGTTTAAAAGTATGTTTCTTATTACATGGATACTAATAATTCATGAGGTGGGTTTGATACCTTTTTTTTTTTTACATTTTAGTCTCAATACAAAGAGCAAGGATATATATTTATATATCTGCGGGAAGAAATCTCTTGTTATTAAAAAGGCTGCATATTTCTCCTTTAAATTGTGTCCCATTTGTAAGGAAAATCATTTGTTTAGGTTGAACATCAAGAGCTGCGGGGTTCCTTAGGCGTGCAGTTAGTTCTTGCATGACCAACACAACCCAAAAGATGTCTTCCTGCAGCAATGTGTGACCACATGTTGTTGTAGATTCTCAGTCATCCAGGACACAACAATCCAAAGGGCTCAAGTAGAAGTTTATCTATAGCTGGAAGGGAGCAGTTAGATAAGCTCATCAGGAAGGCCAGCTCTGTCCTGGGATGCTCCCTGCCCTGACCCGACACTGCAGGTGGTGGGAGATAGAGCAACTCTGGCTGAAATAACATCACTGTTAGACAATATCTCTCACCCCATACATGAAGCTGTTACAGAGCTTCAGTGACAGAGTGGTGGTGCATCCTAGGTGCACAACGTTGCAGGAGATCCTTCCCTCCAGCAGCTGTAAGACTTTGTAACAGTCACTGCTCCCAACAAACTGAAATTATTGCATCCCTGCTGTTTGCTGCAGTTTTCCTAATTTTAAACAGTGCTGTTTTATGCACATAGTAACACATATACAATGTTGTGCTTTTATTTTTCTTTAAATTACCTGTCAGTTTCACATTTCTTTTAGTCGAATATGCTCATTTTAATTACTGTATCCTATCAGTTTGTCTATGTTGTAAGTGTGTCCTTACTGTACAGTCCCTTATTTTTATTCTAATATTTTTTCTTTGTGTGAATATGTATGTTTCCACTTAACTTTGACTTGCTGCTGGTACACTTGAATCTCCCCCACTGTCGGCAATAAAGGATATTTATATTCTATTCTCCTGTTGTTTTTTTTCAAAGACATTTTGGATCTTTGCTATGTTAGAAATCTGTCTTATTCAAACTTCAATGAGACAAACAAATCAACAAACAAATTAAGTGGCAGAATTTAAATTGGCATTGGCAGACATGATTTGGCCAACTCCAATGGTCTAAGCTTACTCGTCGTCTCTAGCAGACTCCACTGCAGAAGAAAAATACAAAATGAATTACTGTGAACACACTCAATTTTTGAAGGACCATCACAACAACACTGTGGCTAAAGTGAAGTTTGCAGGTGGGAAAGTCGTGGTGTGGGTTGACTTTAGTTTCCTGAGCAGGAATCGGGGTTGATGAGCCTCCTATGGAAGAATTTTTCTGCCATAATCCAAGAAGACACATTTTCAGTCTCAAAGCAGGATTTCATGTCTTTTATTCTCAAAACTTGTAATACTTTTGCTCACATTTGTATTTTGAGAGCAGAACTTTCTTCTCAAAACTTGTAATGCTTGTACTCAAAACTTCTTCTTGCACTCATGCTTAGTCTCTGCTCACTTACGAAACACTGAACTGCCTTTTGGCACAGTCGCTTGGCAACCTCTTAGCCAATAGAATGTAAGTGTTGTACTGGGTGTGTTTGTTTCCTTCTAGCGGATGTGCCTGTGTGGCTACTGTTGATTGTATCAACCTGCGCCACCCACTGGATGTAGGGAGAAACGACATCAGCTTTCTGCTCTATGCGTAGTACTCTAAACATCCGCCAGCAGTGTGCTACAGATCGCTAACAGCTACTGATCTTAGGCAGGAGTTTGTTCATCTATCCATCTATCTAGAAGTCCTGCTTTCAAAATGAAAATGTAAACAAAAATATTAAAGTTTTAGGAACAAAAGACATGAAGTCCTGTTTTCAGAGTGAAAATGTGTGCTCTTGGATTATGGCAGCAAAATTCCTCCATAGCCTCTCTACAGTCAGTGGGTGGTGACTACCACAGCTGACTGGACCTGCAAAGATAAACTCCTGGCACAACTCAAAGACAATACAATAGGAAACCTTTCAAGATTTGAGGACAATTTGTGTGGGGAAAATAGGTCAAAAATCTCTCCTGAGCTCTAAAATCAGGACATGTTTTCTCCTTCTTCTGGCTGTTACCTTTACAGCCACAGCGAGTCCTCCTCCATCTAACTTCTTCTGCGTCCTCAAACAGGACAGGTTGAGAAGTTGTCATTATCAAAAAAGGCTTTTCCACCAAATGTTTAATAAATTTTATTTAAAGTGTGTTCATACGCATTCAGTGTCACTTTGGTGAGAGTTTTGTCAATTGCTCCAATTTGAAAGATGGAACAATGATATAAAACTGGAAGTCATTCTTGCCCAATTTCTACAGTAAATTATAAAATAGTTCAAGCTTTCACTGTGGTTCATTAAATGTACTCTGGTTGTGTAACAGAAAGCCCACTGACTGTGAGGCTGACATGATATATTCACTTAGTGCCAAAGTACAAGACAATGAAATAATTACATATTAACTAAAACACTTGCATTTTGAATTAATTTTTGACATTTAGCTGCATATTTAACAAAATATTTCAATTAAATGACATTTAAATTCTCTTTTAATGATTTCATTAAATTGAATTTTGGCACTTAAGCACCTCTATAGGCAGGACACCCACATTAAAACAGCAAACTTTTCACATTTTTGCCACAATAAAATTAAATACAAATGTAAAACCAGGGAATATAGGTTTTTAGCATCAAAAGAGCTTGACCAACTCTATTTACAGTCTTCAGACTGTCACATAGCAACAGTCTTTAGTCAGAGGCCTTTTCAGATTTGTTGCGAGACTGACTGCTAGTGGATGTCCCTCCAGCCCACGGCGCCATCATCCACGACGACACTCTGAAGACACTTGCATGATTTGAGTTGCGTTTAATTTCTTTGGAGTAAAGAAAGTATTTTTGAATTGAAGTTTCACTTGATTGCACATCACAGTTCACCCACCCGCCCAAAGCAATGAACACCAGCACAGGAAAATAAGTTGACACACTTTATTCCTAAAACAGAAGCCACACCAACAGCTGGCGTGGGATTCATATATAATTATTTATATATATATTTATATATTGCAGTTTGGTTTTTGTGTCTAAATGTGTGGTATAAAATATTATATACAACAATGTACCTCTTTATTTGAACACAGTGAAGTTCATTGCTGTACAAGTCCTCTGTAGCTACAGCTTTGCTGTAAGTCCTTCATGCTCCAAGGCATGAAACATAATTCTCCACTCTAATTCTTCTGTACATTGTGACAATACAAATATTCTGTCTCCATTACAAAAAATAATACTCTAAAAGCAACCTACTGGGACTTTTATTTTATTTTTATGGAGTTTTTCCTTTTTTTTCCCGGTTTCTCTTATTAAGACGATTACATATGTCTGAGACCAATTGCTTTAAAGCAGGAAGGCTGATATAAACCTTCATTTTTAATATATAAAAGGTAAGAAATATGACAATTTATACATTTAGAAACTTATAATAAATAAGATAGATGCAGGCAATTTCATTTGGGTACTATTTCATCTAAAGCCTTAAAAAGGAATTTCTCGTATGAAAACCAGAGATCCATTTTTGTTGAGATTTTCATCCTAGATCAAATATGTCCCTTTTCTTCCAATAGCTTTACAGATAAACTCTCTAGTACGGACTGGCCAGTGACTCTGCTGCCATGCTACATTACCATGACAAGTGACTGTCATTTCTCTCACTCTCATTTATCGGGACTCGGCTTCGAGCTCCTCCCGCCCCTCCGTTCTCCGTTACTCCCTTGTTGCCAACGAGTCGACTCTGTGGACCTGTAGCAGCCACAGGGGGATGGGAAGCAGGGACTCCATCTGGGTACAGGATCCAGCTCTGTACTCCCGGTGTCGTCCTCGCACGACGCGACCGGATGCTTTTGCTCCCTCTCTGAAACGTGTCTCCGCCGTCAACGGGCCGCTGGTTACAACATGGTCATGATGAAGTTGTACATCTGGTTGAGCACCACAAAGTGAATAGGCAGACATGATCTTCGGTCCTGCGTTGCCGGGTCGCACGTCAGCCAAGAGAGAGCGTTGTACTGCTCCAGCACAAATCTGCTCCGACACACACACACACACACAAACACACACATAGACTCTCAGTTGTGTTCTCATTCAATTCAAAAGGTAGCTCTGAAAATCTATGCAGCAACTAGGTCTGGGCAATGTGGCTTAAAAAAAAAAAAAAAATCAGATTTTTTCATACCATACCCGATCCGATTTTAATTGATTATTGTTGCTCGGGCTGAGCGATAAATCGATTTTATCGACTAATCATCATTTTGGCTTTTCAAGATTTAATTTTTGGAAAATCTTTTCTTTTTCCTACCAATAAACTCCTTGTGTTTCCGTAGTTCAGAGCGATGGCAGAACGGTCTGACGGGCATGTTTTACAGCTCCTATTTATTTGGACTTAGAATATTAGGGCAGTTATTTTAATACGATCTTTTAAAATTGGCAGAATAAAGTCATAATGTTAGGAGAGTGAAGCAGTAATTTTATGAGAACATAAACACAAAAATCTAAATTAAAGAGGACTGTTGAGCATCTTGTGAAGTTGTGTTTCTTGTATTGGTTTTACAGGTAAGGAAATACTTCATCTTTTAACACATCAGAATCAAATCATTTGTAGCAAAGACTTTGAAACGGTTGAGTTTGTCTATTTTGAAAAAAGAACCACACTGATTGACCCCGTCGTGTCATGAAAAGAAAGTGAGAAAAAAGATAAATAGATAAAAACTGGAAAGCAGATATGGTATGAAAGATTTAATTTTTAAGCCACATCACCCACCCCTAATTACAAATGACCCCTAAT